TGTCCACAGTATCAAAGATTCGCAGAAAAAGATATTCAATTGAATCTATTCTTGAGATTCGTGCACTGATAGCTTTGTTGCCACCAAAAGTATAAAGCACATTCTAAACAAGGTGAAAAATATCAAGCATAGAGGGGATAAACTAAATATTTTTGTGATGTGTTTGCTACCGAAATACACAATATCCATTTCTGTAAAACATTAAGAACTAATAATTAAGAATAATAGTTGGTTCGACTGACGTGATGGAATTTGAGCACAAAAAATGCAAAATTTGTAAACATTTTCAGGCTGAGACGATCGTGAGCCTCGCCTTTTGACCACTTCTCCATTAAGCTTCTTAATGATCACATCTTTGGCGCTTTCAGTTTTGTGCTTGGTAAGAAGGAGGCTTAAGTTTAGGGGAGACCTGACCACTAGTCCGTTACATCCACTGAAGATGCGTAACTGACAAGTGCTTCGCATGTGTGAAAATGGAAAAGTGTGACGGAGATCAATCACGCATAAAGTATATATCATGCAATTTCAACAAATAATCTGATTTGCATGTCATGTTTCTGGCTCAATGAATGGATTGAAATTCAAGATTCTGCAACAAATATTGTTCGTTTTGCTGTATACTCATCTTTCCTTTATTTTACAGTAGGAGTTCGTTGACATCTATTATTATAGTTATCTAAACAATTGAGGTATCACTTTTGGACTTTGGTAATAATAAAATTCCTTTAAATTTATATTGTTGAACAGAAAACGTGACACATGTGGTAGTTATATTTCCTTAAGGTATCCGACTACGTTCGGAACCGTGATTTTGCAAAAGCGTATAAATGGATAATATTTATGATAATTAGTGTCACTTAGATTAGAAAATGTATATAAAATTGTTTTAAGAATAGTATAACAATAACAAATTATTTAAGTACAATATTTTGACAAAAATGAACATAGAATGACCCATTTTCAAAATGTTCTCCTTTTGTGAAAAATGCTTCTATTATAATAATATTTTGCATGTATATATAGCTCAGACCTCTGCACAGAGGCTCAACTGGAATTTTGGAAATATATAACTTAGAAGTGAGTTTATCCATGTTTTACGACAACAGAGGGAAGATATTTTAAGAAAAAACGCCGATAATTATTTAAATGGGTGGTAACTCTGAAAATAATGTGAATTTTCCAAAATTCACACACACATAGTTGAGCCTCTGTACAGAGGTCTGAGCTATATACAGACAAAATATTATTATATAATAGAAGCATTTTTCACAAAAGGAGAACATTTTGAGAAAAGGTTATTCTAAGTTAATTTTTTGCCGAAATATTGTATTTAAATAATGTTTTTGTCAAAATGTCCTTAAAACAATTTTATACATGTATTCTAATCTAAGTGACACTAAATATCATGAAAATTATCCATTTATGCGCTTTTTTAAAATCACGGTTCCGAACGTAGTCGGATACCTTAATGAATAGATATATCCATTCCTACAAATGCAGCAGCAATTTGCAATTTGCCTCCTGTCTAGAAGTTTGGGAGTTAATTCTAAAACTCTCCCAGTTTAACTTCAATTTAACTCTCAAAAAAGACATTAGAGCATTGCCAACACAGGTAAGGGACATACATTGACTGTATTTGAATTACGCAATTCAATAAAGAACCAGTCAGTAGTCAGTTAGTTGGCATATCAATGGCATTGCATCATGGGTACAGCTGATTCATAGCAACACAAAGTGCTTTTATTATTTCATGATGTTTAAATTTCTACATTATTTACGTCGCGCGTCGACTCAAATCAGCAATGGGTTTTTCATTCAATGTATTTAATGTTTTCCTGTAACAAAAATATGTTTTATAAATGAATACATTTTTGATTTATTTTATCGCATTAATATATTTGATCGCTGATTTTCTTAATTCTTTAAATATTTAATCTATGTCTTTTGAAAGTAATACCTTTTAATACTTGATTTGCCTAGCTGCTTATTTATTTCACACTTCACAATTACAAAACAATTTTTATTAATTTGAAACCGGCATATACTTTTTTTAATGCAATATTGGTAATGTTTTTCATTTTATATTTACATTTAAGTTACATTAAATTTCTTTTTAATTAACACTATTTATTATAAGAATAATTTTAAACAGTTTTCATTTAAACAGATTGTTAACTATTTAAATATACTGAGAATGAGTATATTTTATAAGAAATTATTTAATACAGCCATGTTTTAAAATCAAAAAATAAATCCGCAAGTAATTGATGTTCTGGATCATCGAAATACGAGTCGAAATTCTGTCGGTGAATCACATGTCAGTATATCCTTCACTTGTTCCAATTGATCTCCGTCAAACAAATCCAGAAAATGCTTATGCGATATTCTGATAACGATAAATACGACTGTCAAACGTTGAAATTCAATCCCATTGAGAATCGAAATAGTTTATAGACATAACATATGTATAATCCTTTTCTATACATATTATACATAAAGTCAATAATGATATACTAAACTGTCATAAATCTAAGAAAGCAAATCAACAATATATAGTATATAATAAGATTTCTTAGCATTAAGAATTCTATTGTATTGAAAAATAGTCTTATACCTCTCGCCTCTTGATTTAAAAAGAACAGAATTTCTATATAATAATTTCTAAAATTGAAGTAAAATTACCTTTTTTTACGCTGTCGCAACCCCCTCCCCAAGCGGATTTCCGCAGAATCCATTTTTAGTGAATCGATTTAATAAAATAAACATGCTTGCAAAATTTCGTCTAAATCTAATAACTCAAAAACGGAATGTTTTTTTTTTTTTTTTTAAATCAATATAAGCTCCGGTAACCACCTTTGAGACCCGTTCTTGGCGAATTTCAATTCAGCAGAAGAAACATGCATACCAAATGGGAATCCGTTTTGAAGTTCAAATTTCATTCATAATAATACCAAAAAATGCCCGGCAAACTTTTGAATCTTGACCAAAAATCCATTTGCTCTTTAATAAACAATACACAAACTAGAATTTTTGCATGAATTGCACAATTCTTTCTTGAAATGGTTTGCTACTGCATATGTAATTTCACATATCTTAGTCTCATTTGCGAGTGGTAGAAAAATAATTAATTAATTTTTTATCATACATCTGAAAAGTGGGTGTGGCAATTTTGTTTAGTCTGCAGGCCAGCATCAAAAATTGTTCCATAACTTAATAAAAAATACAGATACAGTTTTGAAATTTTGCAGGCTTGTTTATAATGATTCACGGTATCATATTAGCCAATAAAAATATCTAAAGTTTGATGTGTTTTTTTGGGGGGTACCAAGTCGTCTTAATGACATCACAGGAAATGAGACGAGTAATTAATTAATAAATTTCGCCTCATAGCTATAAGTCGGGAATGAAATTTTTTATTTGACGTTTTCGGAGAGAAATCGAAAAGCATTTGTGATTTCTCTACATTTCAATTTTCGCTTGAAATTGTTGAAAAAGGCAGTATTGCTACACGAGAGTTATTGGCAATGGATTTCATGCTTAGGAAACGTGATCAAGTAATGCGAGTGAAACCAGTAATTTCGCTGTCCATTGCCCCATCTTTCACTTGAAAAAGTTGACAGCTCTCTTAACAATAAACCTATCGACTTTCAATACAACATACCTATTTCTACCGATGGCGGTCAAATGATTGCTTTTTAAATAAACGTTCTATTCTTTTTCTTGTTGATTATAAATAATACAAAATTTATCATGGGCAGTAAAACACAAAATAATCCCATGTAATAGTTAAAAAACTTTTTTTTTTTATTTAGGCATGTACATCTTTTGAAATAAAGAATATTTGAGAAATTATATTTTACTTCAGTAATTTATATGGCTATTCAAATTAAAATAAAATTTTTATTCGTTGTTGCAGTTTTCACATTTTATCGAAAATCTATTCTTCACTTTGCTCTTCATAATATTCCGTTCCCCATGTCCAGTTGACCCCGATATTTCTTTGAAAATAGTATGAAACAAAGTTCTTCCATGTTCAAAACCTTCTTGAATTTTTTGCCGAACAGTTTCATCACAAATAAAGTTTCAATATATTCTGATCGTTCTCTTTCCCTACGCATTTATTTTAAGAACGATAGAACAATCTCAATTCTTTTTCTTATCCTATGTGTATTCACAGTGCTTTCTTCCTCATTATCCGTGCCAAGTTGCACAAACTCAGTGTCCATGTATAATATTTTCACACTGAGAATTTTCCTCTTCTGTTTCGGAACATTATTCGCTTATATTATTTATTTCTTCACACAATTTCCTTTGAGTTGAGATTTAGAAGTAAATTTTTGAATTCGTATTCGAATAATCCAATAATAATAATAAAAAATACTACTAAACTAACTATTTTTATTTATTTATTTTCCAAAAGTTTATAGTCTATTATTATTACAATTAGAGCTGACTATATCACAGATATTGGCAATTACCGTTATTTTGCCACGTGGGTTACCACCAGCCGGCGTTCTGTATCCGGGATAAAAAAACAAGCTACTCATAAACACATAAAACAAATTGTACATAAACACAATAGGATGACATTCTCTTGGGAAAACTTGAAAGAGTGAGATTTCAATGAGATAGTTTTATAAAATTTCATACATTTTCCAGGCGTCGCTCACGATAAATAACGTATAGTACATATAATTATCGGGAAAAAACGAAAGTGAAAAAATAGATATTGAAACATTGAGTAGCCATATAATATAAACAAGTAATATAAAAAAAAATTTGAAATCAATTCCTACTTAGGTCAACAAAGAAAAATTTTATTTTAGTTACTTTTTATTGAATAATTACAATTAATATAAATATGCATATACATATGACAGAATCACAATATTAAGTAGCAAAATAGAAAACGATTTTCCTTTCTATATATGGCGTTGGACTATTATTTTTGTTCGCGTTACTATTCATTCATTCATAAAACACATTCTCAGAAATTAGGCTATCCCTGGTAGGACTCAAGTCCACGAGCTTTAGATTAGAAGTCCAACGCGTTATCCATTGCGCTACAGGGACAAAACGAGCGTTTTTCCTTTTTAATGTGGTGTTGGACTATTATTTTTGTTTGTTACTATTTATTCATCAATTATGTTTAACTAATGAATTAATATTTGAATAAACTGTATGAACCTCAAGTGTCATCCACTACAAGTTTAAAAAATGTATTTGAACTTGAATGGATGAATAGAAAGTATTTTATTAACGATTGAAAATTTGAACAAGATATATATAGGCAGATTGAGAACTAATAGTAGGAATTGAAAAAAAATGGCTCAATAAGTTTTAAAAAATTAAAACCTGGAACTTAATAGTTTTGATTAAAGTCTCAAAAGCGGTAATCTGACCATTCTGGTACATTTAACGTTAACATACCGTTAAGCTCTTTTTTTTCCCCGTTATTAGGTCTCACAATATTTGGAAGAACAACGATTCGAACATCATCGTTAGTAAGGATCATGTTTCTAACTACTCAGTACTATGATCTCATAATTTCAGGTTCTCAAAATTAGGGGTTTTAACTTATTATTTACATTTTCTTCTAAGCAAAGTCAAATTTTATAGTTCAAAGTATATTAATTAGACTTTGATTAACAATTAACTTCTATGCTAAAAGATGTTTAAAATTTCACACATATTAATTTATCTCATTGCATAAATAACAAAAAAAGCATTGAATTCATAATTATTTATGGCGAGTGATGCTTGTTCAAAACAATTTTTTTCAAATCTCTGGAAGTTAAATATTGTTACGGGTTATTCCTATATTTCTCATTTGTAAGTTCTATCTTCCATATATATATTGCCCAATTCATTCATTCTTTATGGGGTGCTTTCTATGCTTTTGTTATAAAGTAAATAGTAAAAATGGCAGTAAAAAACACGTATTATATCATTATTAAAAAAAAAATGCATCTATTGAATTTTGTTTTGTAATTCTTAGGATTTCTAATACTTTTCATATTATTCCCATTTATATATGAAAACGTTTAACTTTATGATTCCACTACAGAATTAAAATGATTAATATTTATCAAAAATAATGTCCTTCCTGCATTTATGCTATTTTCTGTTCATAAAAATGAAATATGAGTGTGCATGAATGATTCCATTTAAGTGGTTAACTCATAATTTACTTGGAGTAGTTTTTTTTAAATTTAAATTATAAATTTTAATTAAAAAATATGTGTTTAAAGGAAGTTTTTTTTATAAAATTATGATTATTTAATCTGTTAGCTCATTACATGACGTCATCTTTATATGCTAAATAAAATTAAACCACAAAAAATAAAAATACGTCTGAATTGCTTAGAATTTTTATTAGCACCCGCGTTAAAGAAAATTCGACTCACTGTCACCATTCAAAACTTTTTTGTTAACGTAACTGTTTATTTTTAATGATTCTTCTACTTTAACAGCAACAAAAAAGACTAGAAATGAAATTAATCCAAAGATAACTTATTTTTTAAGAAAGCAAATGATATAGACTTTATTAATTCTTTTTCGTTTTCTTCTCAGAAACTCAATATTAATTAAATTCTTTCGTGTGACATAGAACTATCAATCGTGACTTAACAAACTTGATTACAACTAAGCCTAAGAGATCTAGGTCAGTTTTGATTTTGCACTTGTTTAGTCATCATTTTATCGACTTCGAATAAAATTAAATTACTGAAAAAAAATTCAACTGTATATTCGCACGTGTTCATTCGATAACAGTTATTAAACTCAGGGAAAGAAAAAATTCGTCTGCGTTTAAAAACCATTGTCAATCTGTAATTAATTAACTAATTCTCAGCATTGGATTATTGAAAGAAGGTAGTGAAAAGTGGAAAAAATTAAGTTATTCCATTAATCAGTGTATTAATTTGCAGCATTAATTTTAAGATTTATTGATTTTTTTTATGTTTTTGTTACATAAAACAACAATAAAAAATGTCTTATTATTAAGAAGAAAATGAAAATATTAGCTTATAATTATAAAAAGAACGTTTTGGAAGAGAAATACGGTAAGATATAGCGTTATGTATTTAATTGTAAAGTTACACAATATTAACAACTATATGTTTAAAAACGGTTTTATTCAAGCGCAATTTTTTAATTAATCTCAGCAAATTATTTTATATTTATTACATGTAAATAATTTAAATATATTATGTATAAAATATGCTATAAATATTATTTTTTAAGCGGAGAAATAAACTTTTGTATTTTGAGACTATTTTAAGAAATCGAATTATATATATATATAATCGAGACCAAGTTCGCCAAACGAAAAGATATCACCAATTCAAAACATGCAACTGTTATTGTAACTGATAAGTTCTAACGTGAGCGGGAACGGTTTATATTATTGGCTGTATATTCAGCCATGTCTTTGATTTGAGGAAATTGCTCGACAGTATAATACTAAGTACCCGTATTTTGATTATTATTATGAATATCATATTTATCATATATTTTAAAGTAAATTAAGATCACAATTTTTTTTTCTTCTTTTTCGTATACAGATATTGTCAAGATACACGAGTATTCGTGGAATTTTAAGGGTTAATTATAACAGAAAATTTTATATGTGACGTACATTAAAAACGCTGTAACAATTATTCCTCTTTCAACATCGTTTATTTAAGACAAATCAGGGTTTTTCGTTAATCAAAAAACCAATTAGCCAGTTTTATCACAGAAATCAAGACATTCATTTTTAGAACGCAATTTCCGTTCCGAATAAACGCACCTGAAATTATTACGTCAATTTTGACCATTCTGCATCTTGCAAGGAATATTTATTTTTGAGACATATGCTTTTGCATTGTCTTACCAATTCGCGATTCAAATTACGTAAATGTTTGAAGTTACTGCGTTTTATTCGTAGCCATGTACTAATTTCTTCTTTTTTTTTAATATTCCTTTTGAATTTTTTCGAGGGGAAAAATAGTGTTAATTTTTCTTAACTGAAATATTATAATTTTCGCCATTTCGGGTGATTTTTTACCATTTTTATTAAGACATGCGTCAGTTTTTTCTTTTAATCAGAGGAAATAGTTTCAATTTTTTTAATCCATTTAAATGAATTGTGATGGTTCTTTTTAAAATTTTTACTTGAAACATTTTACATCAAATGAGGCTGTTAAGGCTTTCGCTAAGGTATTTCTTGTGATTTATTCTTTTCATAAGAAACAAATATTAAATTTGGCTATTTTAATTCACATTCTCCTTCCTTTCAATTTTCGTAATTTATTTGATCCTCATTGAAGAGCTACAAATACATACATCAAATTTAGGTAGCAGACCCTGCTACCTCTTTTAAAAAATAAGATGATTTAATTAAAATATTATACTTTTTAGATTTTTTTAATGCAAAAACATTCTTTATTCACATTATGACTCGAAAATTTAAGCATTTTAATAAGCCTGAAATACATGGTTTTTTAATAATAAATAAAACTCGCATTCATTAACATTATTATTTTATACGTCACAATTAAATATATTTTAAGAATAGTTTAAATATATTAAAGTTAGCGAATTGAATATCAATATAGATTAATTATATAACTGCGTTTATCATTTCTGGTACTATATGTTTATCGAAGTTGCAAATAAGTTCTATACGTAAAAATAGACTTTACATTTCTTTAATTCGAATACTTTTTTTTAAAAAAAACAGAACCTTATAAATGACAAGTTGTGTTTACCTTAAAACCAATAGGACGTGAAGTCGTTTCCCACAAAGAGAACCTAAAACTGTAATTATAAATTATGACAATCTGCTTAGGGTTTAAATGATGAAAAATTTGTAAGCCAAGTTAATTGTTTTGGAAAATTTTTCATTTTTAAAATCAAATAAATAATTGGTAAATATCTAATGATTGCTAATAATACAACTTCTGCATTTTTCCTTCATCTATAAGTTTACACTTACAAAGAACTAAGTAGAAAATTATTTTACTTAATTCTATTTAATAATTTTCAGTATTATCAAAAATATTTTTTTCTTTATGTAGCCTATCTGTTTTTCATTAAAAAAAATTGCATGTTTTATACAAGAATAAGAAGTATACTGAATACAGAATGCGACCACTAACTTGGCTTATAAAGTAATGGATAAATAGTGAGCAAGAATGCAGCGGGCTTTGGGACCAATAACACACAGAAGAAATTATTCACGCTAAATCTGTTGAAATTCAGTCTTTTAAATGGTTCTGAGTAGATGTGGAGTATATGGTGGTCATTCGAAAGTCATTCTCATTACTTGACTGTATCTCAGAATTACTAAATCCACCACCAATGATGTGTTATTTTTAATTAAAAATTAATACACATATTAATTAGTCATCTACAGATTCAAATCTACTATAAAATAATTGAAGAGCCCGATTGTGAAACAACCGATAGTAAAAGATGTAAAAGAGCTTGCATCTTGTTGAGAACTATTTAGTTAAAAGATAGGGAGTGATCTTTTTTCTATAACTTTATTTGAATTTTTCAAACTAAACGATATAAAAAGAGAAAAATGCCATTCCAAATGGTATTGATATAAGAAAATATATATACTTTTGTCATTATAGTGATGGATAATTTCAAAACAGTTACATTTAATCTGGTGAATTCTCTGCACAATTATGGTAATAACTCAAAATTAAAATTTCGTGAAATATCAGTGCATTTCATTGCTTCAAAACTTTTATAACGCAACGATTGCAGTTTTATTTGACTAAGGTAATAAATATCGCTTCTGAAATTTTGAGCTGATCCCCTACTTTATTTAAAATTCTTAATAGACGAATGAGTACATACGATATAGTTCGCTGAATCCACGATCTGACTATAACGATGAACAATGCAATTGTAAACTGAAATTTGCTTAACATTGATTAACAGATAGAATTTTAACCGAAACACCTGGTCTACACCTGCCGCAAATATTCCTGTACTACGATTTTAAAAATCAACTACTTAGCAATTCTATGTATAGATAAGATGATAAGATATAAAGATGAAGCCACTTGCCGGTT